GCTGCTTTGACACAATCTACATTGTAATAGTGCTATAGAAAAAAAGATTAATTGAATTAAATAGTCTAATTGTTAATCAATGCCATATTATGCAGTTTTAATATTTTCCCAATCTTAAGGTTCAGGATAAAAAGAACTTAAAAATACAGATACAATTTTTGTTCTACAATTCAGATTATCCACTTAAAAATTTTGTTTAATTCTTGCTATTTTGACTTTTTATCTAAAACATTTTATTTTACTTTTATTTTGCATTCCTTACTTTTTCCTTCAGAAGTCTAATTTTACATCCAGCAATTCAAATTTGGTCCTTCATAATTCTGTTAATAAAGGAACATTATTCTGTTAATAACCCCCCCCCTCGATTTTATAATGTTTGAGTAAAGAATTCAAACCTTTTTTTAAGAATACTGGTTTTACATCTTGCAATAAAAAAAAAATCCTCTTCAAAATTCTGTTAATATCTCACAATTCTGACTTTTTTCCCATCTCAGTGTTATGCTTTTACATCAAGCAATTCAAACTTTTTTTTTTCTGAGAATATTAATTTACATTTTAACGTTTAGATTTTCTACTTTTCACATTTTGGTTAAATTGCAATTTTCTTTTTCTTATTTCTTTTTCTTATCTTTTTCTTATTTTGTTTAATTTATTATTTTTGTATTTTATTATTATTTATTATATTATTTATAAACTTGTTTATTAATTTATTAACTTATTTTATTAAGTTTTTCATCCATCCATCCATTCATCCATTCATCATTTACTTATTCACAACTCTTATTTAACTTTTTTTTTTTAATTTTCATAAGAATTCTGATGAATTTACCTCCAAACATTCAGATTTATTTACCTCTGAATACTTCAGAAATGTTTTTGAATTATTTCTTTTTCCCATAATATTTCATCACTGTTTTTACATTACTGTGATGTTTAGGTTTAGGGTTGGGGTAGGGGTAGACGTTAACAAAATACAATTAATGGGAAATTTAATAAACAGTATAAATAATTCTCGTTGTTAATCAGCTATACTAACAGAGAAGACTCCAGATCCAGACCTGTTTTACATTACTGTGACAGTTAGGGTAGGGGTAGACGTTAATAAAAAACAATTAATCAGAAGTTTCATAAGTAATATTAATAATTCTTGTTAACTTTTGGCCGCAACTGTATGTGATCTATAGCAGATTAACCATGTGGATGGATGATCCACCATGGATTCTGAGCCCACCAGTAGGTGCAGAAGGCCCCTATTGGCCCATATCTATCAGCTGATAACCACTGATAACGCTCAATAAATCGAGTGATAACATTCTAATCCAATCTGAATATTCTGACATTACTTTTAGCAGTTCTTTTCTCACACAACATTGAAATAACATCTTGCAATTCTTGCAAAAAATCTGAGATTAAAAAAGGTCACAAATCATGGTAAAATGGAAGTAAGTCATTTTAAATGACAACTGACTGAGATTGTATTTTATTAATATGCAGACTTTATACTACTTTAGTTATTCACACGTTCCGAAGCATGTTTACTGACTGGAATTAGCATCACATGACTGTTGTTAAGCACTAGAGAACTCTGGGAAATGGGCTGCTCTGTTAATGCTCGTATCTCAAAGCTTTGGTTTTGGAGTGTATGTAAGACTGTGCTTTATGAACACAGTTTAAGGCGCAGGCCGCACAAGAGGATCTGCCGTCCCGAGGCAGTGTAAGGGAAGCTGATTTTGCATCTCTTCCACAGATTATCCCCAGAGTGAGGAACTGCTGGAGGGAATACAGTGTGTGTGTGCATGTCCCAAAATCCTCTCTGCTTCTATAAGCCCCTAAAAGTCCAGTCCTGCCACTTGAGGCAGGCACAGAAAAGCAGTCTGGGTCTGGCAAGCCATTTTACCATTTCATCTATAAAATGTACTTGTGTTTATTTATATGCAACTTGAACTTATTTTTAGCTTTGCTGTTGAGACTACACTGTTAGACATTTCATTGCGTCTTTGCGGTAACTTACTGCACTGTTGACCGCAACTGCTCTTTTACAGTAATTTACCTGTAAATGCGTTTTACAGTAGTAGGGCCCTACCACAATTAAATAGTTTTTTTTTTTTTTTTACAGTCAACTATTGTCAATGTCAATTTTATTTATATAACACTATTAAATCAACCAATGTGCTGCACAATGCAAATAACAAACGGAAAGATATCAAACTATAGCTAAAACAGGCAATTCTCACTGATAAAATGGCAAATCAAAAAGGTACATTTTTAACCTAGATCTAACAGACAGAGATGATATAGACCTAATACAGAGGAACAGTGCATTTCACAATCTAGGACCAGCTTCTGCGAAAGCACGTTCACCTCTGCATTTCAGCCTCGACTTTGGGATGCATAATAATCCCTGGTTTGATGACCAAAGAGATCGAGCAGGCGGAAGTTTAGTCAACAGATCTGACAGATAAGGTGCCATTAAGTGATTTAAAAAACATTCATTCATTCTTTCGTTTATTTATTTTCATAGGTGCCCTAAAAGAATTTGATGGGCCGAACACAATTATTTCAGTTTTACTCTCATTGAAATCTTGAAAGTTCAAAGACAACCAGGCTTTCACATTTGACAAGCAAGACATAAGAGTTTTCAACCCACTTGAACTCTGTTTTAAGGGCAGGTAAATTTGAGTGACATCCATGCTTACTTCTTTTATGGTAAAATGCCCTTTACCACATTTTAATGTTAAAGTATGACAATTTTTACAATAGTTTACTCTAATTTATTTTCATTTTACTGTAGCAGTACAAAAACTTTATTTTTAGTATTTACTACTGAATTTAATAAACTCCAAACAAGTGACTATGTTTTTAAGAACTGTCTCGTTTCTGTCTTCAACTACAGTAGCAGTACTTGATTACTTTGATTACAGTAGAATACCACAAGTTCATAGTATGCAGAAAGTTACTGTAAAAAGTTTTAAAATGACCCACAATGCAGTGCATATTACAGTAGTAAACTGTAAAGAATGAATGTGGTATTTTATTGGGTTTCTGCAGTAAACAACCGTATGTATATATATATATATATATATATATATATATATATATATATATATATATATATATATATATATATTGTAGCGAGGCAGAGGGAAAACAGCGACACAGTTGGATTCGTTTACAGACAAGTCCCCGGAGGGTGCTTTATTTACAAAGTGAAGTGGGTGTAAAAGGTGCTCTTCTTCAGGGTAAGGTGCTCCGGGAACAGGCCCGGCGCCAGGAAGTCAAAACTGAGGGGGCACTTTAAATCCATAGGGGGGCACTAGACCTGGTGACGGATTTTGGTCTCTTGTTTCTTTCATTTAGGCTATTTATTCATATTTATTATTACTTTGCATTACTGTCTAAGTTACTGACCTAAGGCAGTAATATAGGCTACGTTTTAATAGTAATAACAATATGCAGTTTCGCTATTACGAATTTTATTAACGATGGTAATGCATACCGCTTATTAATGCAGACGGATGATGGCTTCAGTGCCAAACGAGTGCTTTAAATCATATGTTATTCTCCTTATTTCCGTTTTATTTCAAATAACAGGCCTATGAATGTTTAAAGTTTTAGGTAAAGACGTCAAATTATGACGTCTTTACCACACATGCAAGCTGACCCACGATCAGACTATTCATTTAACCGGTAAATAAATATAGTAAAATCAGCTTAACCGAGTCATCCCGCTTCACGTAGCCTATATATTATCCAACCAACATCATTGTTAGGGAAAAGCTAAATGTTACAATTTAATGTAATTTAAAACAATTACTTAGTTACATTTTAAGGCATTAGTGTAGCCCGAAAAATACCTAAAAAAGATACCAAAATTCTCAGTTATTACCGTGGAAATTGGTTAAATTTTGGCACGGATAATACGCAACTCAATATGCTATAAAACTTTTTTAAAAATCATTTTAAATGTAAAAACAAAGATTTATCTTAGGCTATCATAAGTGTGCTTTTTTCGTGATATTGTAAACCATCATAAACCATTAGGTTACTAAGCCTACCCGTCATTTTATTTATTAATTATTTAATTTATTAAGCCTTTTTTAATAGCTTGTCTTCAGGTTATTTTCATTTTAGTGCCATGAGTTACAAGTCAAAACAAACTCGATATGTTGTATTTTAGCTCTTAAAATAGATCTACAATATATTTTATGTTGTTTAATTTTGCATGAGCAAATAGCAGTATAGCCTAAATTACATATTTTTAAAAGATTATCATTCTGCCTCCCTGCAGCGCACGAGGTTTCTCGGTTGATCCGCGGTAAATCCACTTAAGCACTATACCTATTCCATTTAGGCTATAACGCTGCAAACTTGACTTCGCAGTGCGATCATCTATAAACGTAAAAGGCATTTATTATGTGTTATACCTTGACTGCTGCTGCATAATGGGATGTTTCTCTACACAACTGTAAAAGTGCGCTTTTTAGCAAAATGAAAGCAAACTTTCAAAGGGTTCTGCGTTTTGTCAGTTTTAGCTTAATTGTAATAATATTAATAATAATATTAATAAACAAATAAAAATATTATTTATAGTGTAGCCTACTGTGGGACTGTGCAGTAAACTATTTATTTTTATTAAAACATTTTTATTAGGCTACATCTTCCTGAATAACTAATAAATGACTGGCAGTTGCGTCTCTGCTAAAATTAATTTAACAGCAAATTTCTTATGTGTTTTTTCCTTTTAGAGCTCAAGAGAGTTGTGTTTAAATAATTAGTTAAGCAAAACATGTAATGAATTAAGCTGCTCCTATCATGTCACCCATTTTCTCCCTTGTGAGTTGAGTGCGCCTCCATCGCCGTGTGCGCGTTTTAAAGGCTATTTACGGGCGCACCTGACCTGACGCGGGGACCGGATCTCTGACTAGCTTTAATCTCATAATTTTCATAATTCAATTGCTATGTCATATTTTAAAATATTTAAATGTGTGTTCTGAAGGTTGGAACTACGGGGGTGTTAATAATTAATGACAGAAAGAATTTTCAGTTTGAGTAAACAATCCCTTATGAAAACTGGGGGGGCACAAACTCTTTCTAAGGGGGCAATGCCACCCTTTGCCCCCCCGTAGCGCCGGGCCTGTCCGGGAAGTAGGTGAAGGACAATGAGTAGTCGGGTGTAGGATCGTCACGAGCTGGAGTCCG